GTTGGCCTGCGAAAGGACACCTTGGACTGAAGAGGTGTCGACTAGTTATCCGGTTGGGAACCGGATGATGGGCACGGTTACACCCTCCCCTACTTAAGACAGAACGTGCCATCATCACGTGGTCAGAAATGAGAGGTAACTGTGACGCGACAGTTGAGATTGGAGATGGCAGACGAAAGCAAGAAGCGCAAAGCGAGCGAAGTCGCCGAGGATGCCGACGACAGCGTGGAAGAGGCCGAAGCGCCGGCGCAGCAAGTGGAGGTAGTGGACCTCACAGCCGAGTCGGATGACGACGACGGAGTGGCGCCGAGCGAGGACGCGGTCGAAGTGGCGCAGCGCAAGGCCGACTGGAAGGCCAAGGCGGCCGTGAAGCGCGAACGGCTTGGGTAGCTGGAGCAGCAAGCGGCTGCAGGCTTGGTGAAAAAACAGTGGGCGCTGAAGGAGTGCACAAGCTGCAGAAGTAGGCAAAGCGCGCCGAAGAGTCCAAAGCGATCGCAGCGGCTGCTCCGAAAGCGGCTGAGGAAGCAGCCAAGGAGGCTGCAGAAGCAGCGAGTAAGGCGGCCAGCGGAGGTGTGACTGGGACACCATCAGGTGATGGGGGACATCCCAACGCTACAGGCGTCGGGGGAAAGGAAGGAAAGGCGAGCGGCAAGGGAGTCGCCGTAAAGACTGAGGCCAAAGTGAAAGCCGAATTTGGTGGGCCGGAGCAGACCGGCCTCGCCCGAGACGGAAGTGTTCGAGCGAGAGTGGGGATTCCACTGGGATCGCTCTCGGATCTTCACGTCTGCCGGGTGGGGTGGCGTGGACTTGGGGTACGTGCGCCACGTTACGCGCCGTTTGATAGTGGTGGGCGAGTTCGATGAAACTCGCGAGGATTGGGGATACCAGACGGCTAATGGTGGAACGGTACCTGCGGTTGTTTGCATGCGCCCAATCGTTTGAGTTGCGGGTGTTGTGGATGCTGCTGGCCATGGAAGGCATGCAGCTTGCAAGGGTGAGTTTTCACCGGTTTGATGAGTTCAAGGGTGCCATGCGTGAGTTGCATGAACGGGAGCACCTGGAGCGCTGGACTGTGGATGTGGGGCGGATCGAGCTTTGCAATGATGAAACATTGCTAGAGTACCTTGTAGCGTTTGTGTGGACGCTTGTCGGACAAGGCAGCGTGCGGCATGGGCAGTTGCCGCTGACAGCGGGGCGGTTGGCCATCTCGCTGTCTAATTTCGCCGGGGTGCGGCGACAGAAGCATGGGCGTTTGAACGCACGGTCTGTCGCGCGGATCGCCGCCCGCGTAAATATGCGGCGCGGACCTGAGGTAAATGTTGCATGACATAATCCCCTGAATGCCAAGTTGTAGTTGGTCCGCTCGCACAGCGAACTGCCGACCCGTTTCTGTCCATCGCGATCCCACGATCGCGCTCGCGTGGGCGATCGGCGGTGTCAGGGCGCTCACCTCCTCGGGGGCAAGCGGCGATGTCGGCGGCGGAAGAGGAAGAAGAACCGCCGCGGGATCCAGAGGATCGTTTGCCGTCGCTTCATCGGGCGTAGGCGTAAATAATAGCGTTTGAGTTTACCCACATAGAATGTTGGATGGATCTGCCATGAGTCGGGCAGATCGAGTTTGTAGTTGGTTGGACTGACCGCATGGAGGACGGTAAAGGGGCCGTGCAAAGCACTGCGTAGCTTGACGTTGGAGGGCTTTCCAACCGTACGGATGCGGAATGCATGGGCGGGTACCGCCGACTTGTGGAGGAGAACTTGTTCGCCAACGGCAAAAGACGCGAGGTTAGAGCGGCCATTTTGTTGGCTTGGGTTGATTGGTGCTGCTGAGCGGCAGCGATGCTGTCATGGTTCTGTTGCACGACAGAGACTCGACGGGAGAGGAAGCTCTGGATGGTTTGGAGAGTGCGGCTGGGGGCGTTGGAGAGTACGCCTGCAGAAGGGAACCGCGCAGTGATTCCATCCCCACTGGAGACCGAACGGTCGAGCATCGGAGGGAGGTGTTGGAGATAGACTGCATAATGGGGCGAAAAGCCAGTGGATGCCTGAACCGAGGCGTTGTAAGCGAAAACCGCATGCTGTAACGTGACAGCCCACGAGGAACCGGGAGAAACGGAGCGCTCCGAAGAATATCTTGGAGGACGCGGTTGGCGCGTTCCGTTTGGCTGTCAGACTCGGGGTGGTCCGAAGTCGACCTGTTGAGCGAGATGTCGCACAGGGCGAAAAGGGTGGACCAAAACTTCGCCGTGAACCGCAGGTCGCGGTCCGAAACGATGGAGCGAGGCAGGCCGAAGCGACAGAAAACGTGGTCGAAAAAGAGGTGAGCGGCATCCGCGCCGCTCAGCGTGTCCCGGATGGGGACGGCAATAACGTATTTCGACGCGCGGTAGACACAAACCATAATGTCGGTATTGCCGCGGGCGTCGCGCGGCAGGCCAAACATGAAATCCGTGCTGACGGACGACCAAATTTCGTCGGGAATAGGCAAAGGTTGGAGCGGTGCCCGAGAGGAGGCAGTGATCTTAGTGCGCTGGCAAGCGTCGCAGTGAGCGACGTAGCGTACAACGGATTTGTACATGCGGGGTCACCAGTACAAACGCGCCAGGACCGCGTGCATTTTGTCGCGGCCAAAATGGCCGCCACTGGGGGAGTCATGGTACGACCGGAGGAGAGTGAGGCGCAACTGCGCGTCGCCAGGCACAACAATACGCGGGGCGCGGGGGCGAGTCCGCGGTGGGTTGGAACATCAAAAGCCCCTCGGCGACGGCGAAGCGATGTAAGGCCGACGAAGCGCGGCGGGGTTTGGGGGAAACGAGGTCGGTGAGCGCCGCCAGGCGCGACGAGCAGTCAGCGTCAAAGGGGTACGCCGCACGAATTCGATCGTGAAGACCGGACGGCAAAAGACCGATCGTAGTCCGTTCGAGATCAGGACGCCGGGACAGGGCGTCGGCCAGGATGTTGTCCTTACCGGGCTTGTACTGAACCAAAATGTGAATTCGGAGAAGAACGAAATCCAGCGCGCCATGCGCTGCGAAATGTGTGGCGTGTTGGTCGCCGTGCGAAAAGACGCATGATCGGTGTAAACCACGAAAGGTTTACCGCCGAGGAGGTAGATCCGGAACTTGGTTAGGGCGTACTTCATGGAGAGAAGTTCCAAGTCATGAACTGGATACGCCCGCTCAGCCGCGTGAAGTTGGCGGCTTTGGTAGGAAACCGGGCGAGGGCGACCGGAGGCGTCGAGCTGCATCAGGCAGCAGCCAATTGCAAACTGCGAGGCATCGCAAACGACGGAGAAAGGTTTGTCAAAGTCCGGGAGCGCCAAGATCGGGGCGCGTTGAAGGTTTGTTTTGAGGCCTCCGAAGGCCTCCTGACAAACGGAATCCCAAACCCAAGGAGAGTCCTTAAGGAGAAGCCGAAACAACGGCTTGGCGATGTCGGCTAAGTTTTGCGAGTATTTGTGCAGGTACGTCGCAAGACCCAGCCTGCGACGAAGATCCTTGACGGAGGAGGGAATAAGCCACTCCGAAATGATCTTGATCTTTTCGGGATCAGCCCGACATCCGTTCACCCCCACCAAATCTCCCAGGACCAGGATTTCGTCAACGCCAAACATGCATTTGGCATGGAGACCGTTGGCACGGAGGACTTCAAACACCGTGCGGAGGTGGCCGCGGTGAACGTCAAAATCGGACTGCGCGGGTGAAGCGCAACTGCGAACGTAAATGACGTCGAAGTATGATGGTGCGAAATCGCGAAACTTCGCGGTAACCATGCGGTTGAACGTCGCCGGGGCGTTGGATAGACCCTGTGGCATGACCAGCCACTCCCATAACATGCCACTCGGCCTGGAAACTGCCGTTTAGGGACGTCACATAGACGCATCAGGATCTGGTAAAAGCCATCGCGGAGATCGATGGTGGAGAAATGGTAGATCGACCCAAGGTCGCGAGGAAGCGGCCATTGCCGCGTGACGCAATACTTAGCGCCAGGCACGAGGTCAATCTCGTGTTGAACGCCCTTGTCGACTGGGAGTCAACACGGCACCTCGTCGGGGAAGACGTCCTCAAACTCTTGGAGTAGATCGTAATAGGGGTGGACCCCAGGAGTCCCACGTCTGAGGCTTTAAAGGAGCAGCGAGGACCAAATCATCCGCGGTCGAGGTCGAAAAGAGATCCATCTCTTCTTCGACGGTGAGCATCGCCAATGCGGCGATATCGTGGGTGCGGAGAAATTCCACAAGCGAGTGGAAGCTCATTTCTGGCAGTGCCAGGATCTCGGAAGACGTCCGAGGGAGTTCATTCAAGTTACACGTTTCTTCAATAAACGTGGCCGCCAAAATCGAGGCAGCAATCGGTGGAGATAACGTTGGAGACGCGGGCGCTGGGGATAGCAAGCGCGCTGCGGGGTTAGGAGAGGCGAGATCATTACTCATCGCCTCTAATGGAGGTCCAAGCGGGTTGGTGGTGTACAGGGGAAGGCGATCGGCAGCCCACCGATGAATCCAAGGTTGGCTCGCGTTGAGCCAAGTAACCTTGTGCACGCGCACGGATTTGGCCTTCCAGTCAATCCATGGCTGGTGAGATTCCAGCCAGGACATCCCGATCATGACTCCCCATCTCTCATCGAGGTCGATAACATAGAACGGTTCGACCGAGTCGAAACCATTGAAGGTGATGGGAACGTCGACGATTATGCGCGGTTTCGACGCAGTGTGGCCGTCAGCCATCTTGACGCGAACCCTGTCGGAGGATCCGAAGTGGGTAAGCGGTTGAAGTGAGAAAGAGTGGAGCGACTGGCGTAGTTGTTCGACGCCCCACAATCGATTAAAGCAGAGAACCTGGCCGGAAAGCCGGGCACGACAAGTTCCAAACTAATTATTTTGTTGGGTTGGAACCCAACACGACATAGAAGAAGGTATGTGTCCGAGGCTAGGTCCTGAGAGTGTGTCAACGCGCCACACACCTCGAAAGGACCTGGGGTGTCCCCAGTAGGTCGCCTCGCGCCTACTGGGAGCAACCGTTTCCCGCCGCACTCGAGGTGAAATGCGGGCGTGAGGCGCCATAGCGTTCGCGATTAAAGCGGTTAGGTGGACCGCTTGGAGGGCGACTTAAGTGGATATCTGGCGCGGCACGGGAGGAACCGTGTGAGTTAGACGCGGCTGACGCCACACGGTGAGGTGCCGGACATGCGCGGGAGAAGTGTCCAGGGCGACCGCAATTGAAATACGTGCGGTCATCCGATGGCTCGGCGAGCATGAAGACATCCATGTCCGAGGAAGCCGCGCGTGCGTGAAGGAGGGGGAAAATGATTCCGAAAGCGCGATTCGGACGGCTTATTCGAAGGTGTCCGGGTAGGCGCGAAACAGCTGGGTGCGCGCCGGGCCTTGGTTGAGACCGTCCATGGAAACGGTCACACGTAGAGGCTCCGGGAGTGACTCTTCATCGTCAATATTCGCTGCCAAGAAGCGAAGATCATGGATGAACTCTTGAAGAGAGGGTTTCCCTTGCTTGCATGCCAGATACTGCGAGCGATAACAAAAGTCGCTGTTAGGTGGCCATTACCTTTAGTTCGGACTCAAAGACCGCAAAGGACAGGAAGCAATGTGGTCCATCAAGCGTTTGGAAAACGCCCACTTCTGCACGACCCTTCATATGCGACATCGCGAAAACCACGCGGGTGGCGTCGTGGATACGCTGGGCATCAGCAGAAGTGCTGACTTGTAAAAGCCAGCTGAGGAGTTTGTGAGACTTCCCTCCATCGAATTTCGCAACATCCAACTTGATCGACTTCAGACGAGAAGCCGATCGAGTTTCCGACTCTAAAGTGTGCGTGAGGCGCGCGATCTCATCATGAGCAATGCACAGAGAATCTTGGAGGGTGCGATCATGTGTCGTCAGGGATGAGGCTTGCTCTTCTAAGGTCGCGATTTTCTCGCGACGCGAACGATGCGGAGAGAATCTTCAAAGTTTCACCCGTGCGAAGACATTTAAGTGACTCGTTCTTCCAATGCCTTCTGGGCGGCCGTAGCTTCGGCGACCGAGAGATCGATCGTGCTAACGAATCCTTCCACAAGGCGTGTTTGGTTATCGGGAGTATCCCGCCAAGGAGTAGTGCGGTATCGTTGTCGCCAAAACTGCGACGCAAAAGAGCGAGGGCCGCCTGGTGGGCTGCGGTGTTGGTGGAGGACATAGTGTTGGTCGACTGGACGAAAAGATGCACATGCGCAATAAAAATATTGCATCCGCAAAAGTAGTGAAATATCCGGAACTCTTGTGTTTTGAATGTGAAACGGCACGAATTTTCTGAATGCAAAGCATCGCACATGCAGTGAACGATATAAAACGTGTATGTACAACAGCCAATGTCCCTCTCCAACGAGTTGGATGACTGCGAAGAAACTCCAGTTTCGCTTTCGCCAATCATGAATGCCTCGATTTTGGCCTTCGTGTTATGATGAGTTTTCGCCAGTTCCCGCATCTCCCAGACGAATAATGATATACTGTAGATCCAATGTCCAGGATGTGGCCAATACAACATTAGTGTTCGAGTGAATTTTCTGCATTTGGTGGATTCTGGAGTCAGAATCCAATTTTGCTCCGAACACGGCCGTACAGTATGTAGTAACATAGTTGGGGGCTTGTAACTACTATTAATACATACTCCAGTAGGCTGGTACAGTAACTATTATTAATACATACTCCAGTAGTACAGTATAG